ATTCAGTATTACCTGTACAGTCTTTGGATGGTGTAAACTTCCCAAAAAAACGTGTATGGTGCAATGGTAGAAGGTGTATGGTGCTATGCTGTATGGTGTAAGGGGAATGATGTAATGGTGTAACGTGCGATCGGGAATGGTGTGAATGAATGGTGTACGACATTTAAAACTATGCAAAATATTGATAAGAACTGATTTTTAATTTTATACATTAATTTACAATATTGTGATCAAAATTCGTTTTTTGAAATAAATAAATAATTTTGTAGTCGCACGCTTTCTTTGAAATTAATTTCGGTAGGTGTAATGTGTAAGGTGTATGGTGCAAAGGTGTAACGTGTATGGTGTAATGGCACAGGGTGTATGGTGTAATGGTGAATGGTGTAATGGTGTATGGTGTTAGTGGGAAATTTACATCATCCAAGGACTGTATAGGAGAAAGTTTTTTTACAAAGCTTTCTTCTTTATATGTACACTTGGTAAGGGTAGCAGAGGTAAAGAAATTTGAAAGTGTGTTACTTTGACTTCCATAAAGCAGTAAGACCCTTGCTGATTGGTCAACAATTTTGCTGTGGAAGAGGAGTAAGAATCCATTCATTTCAAATAGGCAATGATTGGAGACATTACATTTTAGCACCTCTACTACCTGAGTGCTCAATGTATCAGTGGAGAGTGCCATGCACTTTGCATGTGAACACTCCTGATATTTACTACAATTATTGTTTATATATTTATATATACATATGCATTAAATATTTGTTTTTGAACACAATCATAAAACCATCTCTGTAATATCTATATTACTAAAGGAAGAGACCTATTTTATTAGGCCGCATCTCCTCTGAAACCGTACAAAGTCGGAAATATTTGTGATATGACGTATAAATGTAGTGCTTTGTACTTGCTAAATTTGTCTTTGAAACAATCTTTTTTCCACAGAAAACGCCAATTTTTGAGAAAATAACACAATTCGGAGACCGTTTTCGATTCGTGTCTTATACGCTTTCGCGCATGCTCAGTCGACGTACTGCCCGCGAAATTTAAAAACTCTTTGTTTCAACACTTGCCTAATTGTACCGCGATTTCGCGGGCTTCTTCTAGTAGTCCCAATGTATTCAAGAGAGCAATGCAATTTTAAGTCCTTTTAGTTTGATTTATATTTTAAGTTACTATTCATAAAGAAATTGATAGATTTGGTATAACGGCCAATAAGACAACTATCCATAGACCAAAGGAAAAAGATTAAACAAATACAGGTCACCGTACTGACGTCAACAATGAGCAAAACCCAATACCGTATAGTGGACAATAAAAGGTCCAGTATGATAAAATGTAAAAGAATTCAAACGTGTGCCTTATAATACAAAAATGAACTAAAACAAATATGAGAGACAGCACTGAAAAACAGCTACTGGGGTACAGATTTCTTGGCTATGGACAGACACATATAATGAAAATATGGCAGGGTTTAACATGTCTGTGATCGATAAACGTAACACCCAAAACTTGAAACAGTGGTGTAGCAACATAACATAAGAATAAGCAGTAAACCAGTTGGAAACCGCTTGACGCTTGACCCATCAGGTCAGCACTTATCACAAAAAAAAATAACATATAGACAAAATACACAAACTAACAAAATTGAATGTAAATGTACTCGCAGTTACTGTAGGTTCGTTCAAATCCCTATTTCAACTGATAAAAACACTATTTTTACAAAGACGGACTTAGTGTAAAGACGTCATAAGAAGTGTAAGAAAAGCATGACCATACACAATGCAAAAATATAAGCATTGACATGATGTATGACCACAAGTGTACATGTTATATCTGGATAGCAACACATGTTTACAGCCCTTGGATGGTGTAAACTTCCAAAAAACGTGTATGGTGTAAAGGGAATGGTGTACGACATTTAAAACTATGCAAAATATTGATAAGAACTGATTTTTAATTTGATACATTAATTTACATTATTGTGATCAAAATTTGATTTTCAAAAATAAATAAATAATTTTGTAGTCGCACGCTTTCTTTGAAATTAAATTGCATTATGTTGTAATGTGTAAGGTGTATGTATGGTGCAAAAGTGTAACGTGTATGGTGTAATGGCACAGGGTGTATAGTGTAATGGTGTATGATGAATGGTGTAATGGTGAATGGTGTAAGTGGGAAGTTTACATCATCCAATGCCTTTAGGAATGAGTGTATACAGAGGAACAACAAGTATCCTAATTTAGGAGCTTAATAAACAGCTTCACCGTAACAATTGGATGTAAAATCCTTTTTTTATAGTACGCTTTACAGCCAAACTTCCAAACCAATAAAAAAACTGTCTCTTTAATATAAACGTAAAATAAAGGAGTTTTGAAGACCACAAGTTCCATGTCACAATTCTCTTCCTACAAATTAATAATTTTAACTTGCTGTTTGATGAACTATGATTAAATCATCAAAATGTTCATGAATGTTAAAATCCTTGCTTTCAATTCTATCAATTGTATAATAAACACTAATTATGTGCACTTATTTATTGTAATGTTTTATATAGATAACCTGATACTTATTTCAGTACTTTTGTTCATTATATATATTTTACTAAACATTTATCATGTTTATGTACAATTTACTTTTTATAATGCCAAATTTATCTGCCTGTATATTTATCTTATCCAATATTCATTGATCCATTTACTATAAATAAAAAATGCTCGCATGTTCATGTATCATCGGACAAAATGAATCAGTTTTTGTATAATAACTACATATTTTAATTTCATATAATACTTGAAGATCTTCAAATTGTCAAAAATGCATAAATCTGACATTTTTGGTATCTTATGGTTTCAATTGTTTGTTATACTAAGTACAATAGAAAAACTAAGTACAAGTTTATCAAAATGTATAAATCATTAATTCATGGAAAGGGCTGAATGTTGGAAAAAACATCGAATATAGCATTAAACTGTTGTTCTACTCAACCATTTGTTTGCTTACATTAGATATATGTGTAGTAGAAATTTATAAAACAGTAATTAATGAACAATACATGTAAACATTTGCTTTATAGAGTAGAAATTTGTGAACAATGAGGATACTTTATTATGATAAGCCAATGTAAAGTAAATTTAGTAAACTAACTGCTGAAGAAAATTGGAATTATACAGTCGTTTCAATGGTAGTTATATTTACATACAACAATAATGTATGGAGTAACTCTTTAATCTTACAATAAAGAAAATCCACTAGAAAAGATATGAATGAAATTTAAAACAGAGATACTATGGTATAACTTAGTATACAATGAATAGAAAGGAAACAAAAATGACAATTACTTTGACGTAATATTTGTTAAATGCCTCAGAGGAAATGAAATATAGAATCTAGACTTTTGAGTGGAAAAAAAAACTGCTGAAAATTCTTCTCAACAAGTGTTTCCTACAAATTAACTTAAAGGCATTTTAAAGGTCAAGTTATGGAAACCATTCTTAGACATATCCTATGTAATCAGTGTGTTGTTTGTCATATATACTGTCATTTACTGTCATATTTTGACTTTGAACATGTGTTTTTTTAATAGAATTTAAATATTGTATATACCGGTAAGTGAATGGTTTAAATGCACATTTTGTACAAATAAAACATTTATAAGACAATGAATAGTTTAATGCATCATTTGAAGTATTTGATCATTTCACATTTTTCATAATAAACACAATTTAAAATTTGATATCTTTTATTATTTTACTCATCCCATTAGTTTTTGGAAAAGATAAGATCAAAACATCCAGTCAAGAAGCAAAAGAAAAAACAATGAGTCAGAGACAAATATGGTCACAACTTAAAAATGACAAACAAAAGGCAGCTTCACACATGTTAGAACTACTATAAAGGTTGTCTCTATTTAGTGAAAACATGAGTTCTCTGTGGCTCTCTTCTTTTTCGATTAAAGTAATACCTATGCAATTTGATTCTTAATTCAAAGGTCAGGTTACCAACCTTAAAAGATGCTAATCTTGAATCCAGAAAAAAAATTCTGTTGTCAGTCTCTATAATGATCAGTAACTTTGCTGTGACAACCAATTGAAAAACTTATAATAAACATGACAAAATCAATTAAAGTTTCCTTGATAATCCTTTACAAGTAATGATATACAAAATATATTAAAAAAAAAAGATGTTTATCCATGAAACAGCAGCATGTCATACTTAAAATGTGTATTTTAACCTTGAAAACTTGAAATGATAAATGGGTTGAAAGCAGTTAAAACATAAGAAAGATTAGATTTTGGTCCACACAGTTTCCTTTAGAAAAAGTATTATTGTTGCATTGTTTCATGCATAAATTGTAAACAAAAATATCAGGTGAGCGACACAGGCTCCTTGGCGCCTCTAGTTTATGGATGTGGCAAACAACAAAAATGATAAACAATACTTTAAATAAGTCAATATGAATGAAATTTTCAATGGAATCCTCACAGGAATTGTAACCCTTAAATTACAATTTAAACACATTTTTTCAATTTTGCTTTATCCTAAAAATTATGATGGATAAACATGATCAACAAGACCATACATTGGCCAACACAGTTTCCATTCAACATGTTGAACACAAATATTATTGTTGCATTGTGCTCAGGTGAGCGACACAGGCTCTTTAGATCCTCGAGTTATGTTTCTGAAACGTCGAATTACTAGAGGTGGTATGCTTTGCATAACAATGTGTGCATTTTTGTTGTTTGAATTATTGCCCTTATTGCGTAGGCAGATGACAGTTTGAAAATAAAAAAAAAAATACCAGCTTGAATTTTCTAAATGTTTTAATAAAGCATTGATTACTTGGACCAGGATACGTTTGATGACCAGCTGTGGTAATAAATCAAAATGGAACATGATGAATTTTCTACTGGTCATTTAAAAAATTTAACAACTATATTCATCCATAACTTCAATAACAGTATGTGAGGTTCTAAATATTTAGTATCTTGTTTTCAGACATTGACTTACAGTCAAAAGCAACAGTATACAATGTTTATATAGGAGATGATATTACTATGGAACAGTGCTGTGATAATCAACAAACACTTATAGCTGTCAAATGGTATAGAGAAGGTGAAAAAAGGACAGAGATAGACCCTAGTGATAATCAGTACAGTGGAGGTGTCCTTGCTGTTCCATCTCTGACAATCAAGCAAACAATTTCGGAGAATGCAGGAAGATATTTGTGCATACTGATATATGATAATGAAGTAACGAAGACGTTTTCATTTAAACTGAAAATAATACCTCAAGGTCTGTATGTCCATTTAGTTGAAAACAAAGTATCAAAATGTTATATTAATATTTGCTCAATACAAATTGTTTTCTTACATACATCTTCAAACCCAGATGCTTTCTTTTTGTAGAATAATATAAATATTTGCTTTCATTGATTTAGTTCGTTTCCAGATAAACCGAGAGATACATATAAAAAAGAAGATGTGGTATGATTGCCAATGAGACAATTCTCCACAAGAGACCAAATGACACAGAAATTAACAACTATAGGTTACCGTACGGCCTTCAACAATGAGCAAAGCCCATACCGCACAGTCAGCTATAAAAGGCCCCAAAATGACAATGTACAACAATTCAAACGAGAAAAACTAACGGCCTAATTTATGTACAAAAAATTAACGAAAAACAAATATGTAACACATAAACAAACGACAACCACTGAATTACAGGCTCCTGACTTGGGAAAGGCACATACATACAGAATGTGGCGGGGGTTAAACATGTTAGCGGGATCCCAACCATCCCCCTAACCTGGGACAGTGGTGTAACAGTACAACATAAGAACGAACTATAAAAATCAGTTGAAAGAGGCTTAACTCATCAGATGGATAAAAATACAAATACTACAAATACAAGTGGACGTGGCAGGGTAATTGTACATCCAAACAACAAAAAGACACTAAGTACAGATCTGAGAGTACTCGCAGTTACTGACAGCTAGTTCAAAGTCACTAACAACTAATAAAAACAATCATGCATCTAAGACTAAATTATCAATCCGTTCACATCCAATCTCCAATGGATTTAGTGTAAAGACGTCATAAACAGTCAGAGAATAACATGACCTTGTGCAATGCCAAGATACAGTTACAGAAAACAAAATCAATATTAGTATCAGTTGTCAGTTTGTTTTCGATCTATGAGTTTGACTGTCCCTCTGGTATCTTTCGTCCCTCTTTTAGTTCCAATAAAACCAATATTTAATGATATAATTATAGTGTTGAATTGTTAACCTTTTAGAATAAGTTTATTTAAAGAATCGATAAGTTTACCAGGATCGTTTCTAAATTTCCGGGCACGGTAAACAATATTGCCGTAAACTGAGGATGTGCAATCCCATTTGAAATAAGTTTTCTACAGGTACAACCAAACTTCAAAACCAAATCTTTATATCTGTGGAAGAATTTAGTAAAGTTTTTAAGTAATTTGTGGTAACGAAATCCCTGGCTTAATAATTTATCAGTAATTCATAGATTACGTTCGTTAAAATGTATATATATGAACAATCGTAATGGACAATTTATGACCATTGTTAGTGCACATGTAAATGAAGTATATACAGTTCATTATATTTTAGAAAGGTATAATAATATCCTCTTTATATATGAATTACTAAATTAATACCATTATGTTAAAATGACAAAGCATTAGGAATACAATTTGATTTGACATATTGTGAAATGTCTACTGTTTGTTTCTTATGCAATGAATGAGGTGCATGTGGAAAACTTTTGATTTATAATTAACATCATTAAGTAAAGCAGTCAGTCAATATGGAATTAAAATATAATAAATGTTATTGGTAGCTATCTTTCCAAAAAGAAGGTACACTAACATTCAACCCTTCTCTAGGATTTTGGGTGGTATGTTAGTGAATTCATCTTATCTCTATTTCAGTTCGTCCCTCCCTCCATTAATCCAGTAATTATCTTTGCCACTCTTTTCACGGAAAATACTGTCAATACTTTGAATTTTCAGTATGTTGAAAGAACTTTTTTAGTCACATATTTCTACAATACTACTAAACTTCATGTTTGGTCAGCAGCTCATCATAGTTATGTCTGCGATAATAGAGATGATTTCATCTTCCCAAGTATCATCTTTCCATTTCTATGTAGCAACATTCTAGCAGCGCCTGCATATGGGGTATATATCTCCCACTTGATACAATATTCCAGTACTTGCATTTCCTATCATTATTTCTTTGATACAGGATTACTGCTTACAAGGAAGCTGTTAAACCAAGAGTTCCATATAGTGAAGTTGGAATCATCCCTTTGAAAATTTAACAGATGCCATCACCAGTTGGCTTACACTTAAGACTGAGCAACACGAACCACACCAAAAACTGGGGGTGATCTCAGGTGCTCCGGAAGGGTAAGCAGATCCTGCTCCACATGTGGCATCAGTCGTATTGCTCATGTTAGTACAAACCCGGTATTAAGTCTAATTCGGTAGGTCACATTCGGGAAAAGGGACGGGATTGTAGTTGCGACAATAGGAACATATCCGCTATAACCTGTGAAATAAATATTCCATAACGGTCAACCAACTCGTGATGGCATCCATAAAACTTACGAAGGTGGATTTCAACTTCGCCACTTGGAACTCTTGGTTTAATAGCTTCCTTGTGAGCAGCAACCCTCTATCAAAGAAATCATGATAGAAGATACAAGCCCTGGAATATCGTATCAACTGGGAGATATATACTCCGTATGCAGGCGCTGCTGGAATGCTGCTACATAGAAATGGAAAGTTCACAATTAGGAAGCTGAAATCATCTCTTTTGTCGTAAAGTTTTGTATTCAACCAACCCTAATTGTCAATTTCTAGATGTAAGTCAAGATATGAGACTGACTTGACTGTATCTGTTGTATCCTTTATCTCAAGTTCGATGGGATATATGCGTTCAACATAGTCACCAAATTTTAAATTATTTAGTGAGAGAACATCATCTATATAGCGGAAAGTAAAAATAAAGGATACTGCTAACTTCTTCTCTTTCTTCCTAAGAAGTTCCTGTGTGAAGTCAGCATCATATGAATAAAGGAACAAGTCGGCAAGAAGAGGGAAACAGTTTGTTCCCATTGGAATGCTGATTGTTTGTTGAAAAATACGTCATCCAAACGTGACAAATATGTTGTCAATCAAAAAAAAAGTATCTTAATAATGTCAGTTTAAGAGAGTTTTTCGTTTGAATCAGAATGATTTTTTACAAAGTAGGATTTATCCCTCCCTAGGACAAGATACTTATCCCTTCCTTTTTTTCTCGAATATGACCTAACAAATTAGACTTATCACCGGGTTTGTATTTCCATTAGCAACACTAGGGGTGCAGTATGTTGGAGATGATCTGCGTACCTTTCCGGAGAACCTGGGTGAGATCACTCTTTGCTTCAGGGTTAGAAAATTCACATGACAGATGGTTTATGAACTTGATGATGTCTTATAGCTAGATGTGAGTCTTTTACCAATCTGCTTATGCGTTATGCCATATCACTTGGTATAACTTGCCAAAATTGGTATAAGAGTAACACAATGGGTGTCACATGTGGAGCAGTATCTGATAACCCATCCGGAGCTCCTAACATCAACCCCGAAATTTTGTGGGGTTCTTGTTGCTCTTTCTTTAATTTTCCATTTTCTGTTTTGTATACTGTTGTTTGTCCTTTGGTCGTTTTTCGTTTTTTGACTTGGTATTGTCTGTTTGTTCTTTACTGATGAGATTGAATATCCCTTGGTATCTTTATCAATGATGATTTAAAATGTGTGTACTCTTTTATGATCTGTCAGATACACTTTTCCTGTTTTCGATTGGAGTATGCTTAACACCACAATGCATATCTTCTTGATCTTTTCTGATGTGTTGTGTATGTTGCATTTATTTCGTACTTGTCAATAAGATTCGACTTCCGTGTAAAAAGGTTAAGACTGTGAGGTCATTGTGAGCACTCATAAAACATTTTCAACACCTAAATGTTGCCTCAAACAGTTTTCCCCTCAACGCCATTTATATTTTGTCCCAACGAACAAAGCCCATACAAATCACATCACGTATAAACAAAATGTGACAAAGGTTTTACAGCAATCAATGAAATAATGATCGAAATACTTTTTTATTCCAAATGCCGTTAAACGGCATCTAGAGGTCAACAAATGATCTTCAGTAAAAAAATGTCTCAAACTATAAAAGCCCATGTCGAATGCCTTACAGTGACCTATAGGAGCTTACATTCACATCATTTGGACTTTGGTGGATAGTTCTTTCTTTGGTAATGCTATCACAAATGAAATGACTATCCACCAGAGTCCAAATGATATGAACTGTGAAGGATAGTTCTTTCATTAGTAATCCTATCTTTGTCCAAACTCCTTATTTTAATAACCCATGCAACAAAGTTTTTTTTTACCTGTTGTCCGTCCGTCCGTCAGTCAGTTCTGTTCTTGTCATCTCAACATCTCTAAAACCACACGGCAGAATTTCATGAAACTTTGTAGATAATAAGGACATACTACATGTACTATGTAGATGTGCATTTTGACAGGAAATTATGTTCCAATGTTTTTTCTAGGAGTTGTGTCTCTTTGAACTTAGAATTTTGGCATAAATATACTAAAACAGCAGTTTGTCATCGCAACTACTCGGAAACCAACAATTGTTCCAAGTCTTTCCTAAGGCACTGGCCACCTTAACAAGAAGTAGCACAGGTTAGCTGCTAAATCTACAAAATGAACACACACTGAAATATAGTCTCCTATTATCTCATATGCACAACTTTGGGTTATGTCTTTGGATCAGTTCAAATTAAAGGACCCGCTATCATTGATTCACATGTAGTTATTTTATATACTGAAAAAGTGCTTATCCTTCTTAAGAACTGTAGTTAATGCAATTGTCAGCAAAAGTGCTATATTAATGTTCTTTTTTTGTCCTCGCCATACCTAAACATAATTTAAAATTATTCAACCTACTCATCCAATCTTTCCATGAGTAATTTCTTTCACTTTCTAGAAGTTATGCCCCTTTGAATTTATAATTTTTGCCATAATTTACTTCTGCAACAGTTTGTCAGCGCAACTCCTTTGAAACCACACAACAGAATGTATGAAACTTTGTATTAAATGAGGACATAATATGTAGATGCTTTTACAAGAAATTTTTGTCAGATAACTTTTGTATGAGTTATGAGTCTTTGAATTTAGGTATATAGTGAGATTTTGTCTGCCCAGGGACAATGTGGGGGCGTGGGTATGTCAGCATATTCACAGGGGTTCTTTGATTATGGGCCGGGTTGAACGAAGTCCAAAACCGGCTTATAGTATGGTGATGTCGGCCGGGCGGGTGGATGGTCAAGCGGGCAGTCAAAAGTGGATACCTAATTTGTGTAATCAACTCTTCTACAGTTTTCAACCCGAATCCCTTAAACTTCACAGAAATATTGAACATATGTTGAAGTTGTGCATCTGCTATTGTAGAATTGTTTTAGGACTTTTTTTCATTTTTTCTGCAACCGGACCATTTGAGACTTTGACCTATTTTATTAGTGTAAAGTACTACAGTTGTGTATAAATTTAACTGAGATCTCAAAAGATCTGGCATAAGCACAAACTTTCCTTTAAAAAACAGGACAGACATGACAGATATATACCTTTCAAAAATATGTTTTACTTAATTGTGACATTACATTTTCATTTCCTGTTGTTTTCTCTACAAACATGACATAGGCCCTCACAGCCCTTTAGCAGGTACCAGTTGTATTTCCTATACATAAAGGAGTTAAAACATGGCTAGAAATATCAGTTATATAATGACTTAAGTAGAAAAAAAAAATGTTTTTTTTTGTCTCATAGATACAAGGATTAAAATTGTGTACGCAAGACTAGTGTTTCGTCTACAAAATACACACCAGTGGCGCTTGAATTAAAAAATTTGAAAGGCCAAATAAAGTACGGATGTCATAGAGCAACCTATTGGTGTTTCTTTTGTCTTATTGACATCCAATGTAAAGTTTTCTAATGGGTTAGTTTCAGAATACGTTCTTATGGAAGATCATTTTTTTTTTTAAATTTAAATTTAAATATGTTGTTTCTGATGACAAAATGGAGGTAAGCTTTATATTTTATATTTTCACCCTTTAATGCTGTTCGGGAGTTATGCTTTTCGATTGATAGAAAAATGTTACTTATGTCATTTCTCTGTCATAAACTGAGAAAAGTTGAATCAAACCTGAGCTAATTTCAATATGTTTTTTTCTTATTGTAAAATTTAGGTCAAGTTAATTTTGAATTTTTTTCACTTTTTCTATTCTAGAGTTATGTTCCATAATTGATAAAAAAAAATGTTGTTCTAGTTAAATAATTACAGAACAGTTTCAAATTTTAAAATGTTTCTCATGGCAAAATCCAGGTCAAGATTGAAGTTTCAATATAACCATTTTAACTTTTGCCATTGAGAAGTTTTGGTGTTAAATAGGGAATGAATTCATAATTTTCATTCCGTGCAATATTTTGAGAACAAATTCATTTCAAATTTTAATCTCTTTTTTCTAATGACAAAATGAAGTTCAAGTTTGATTTAACAACTTCCACTTACGATGTAACAAACTGTCTAGCAGTTGTGGCCTATGATCATGTTGATAACTGTTACATTGACTCTAATACATGGAACACCAACAACCCAGTTTGCTGCCATTATGACAGCCTCTTGTTAAATTATTAGTGATATACTATCGATATATCGAAAGCTGTTACATAGACTTTCATGTAACATGTAACATTAAGATACAGTCTAAGTTAACAGTTTTTTAGACACCAATGCTTTGCAAAAGCTTCATGGAATATTATGAAACTTTGACAGAGCTTTGTATATCAAACCACATTAGTCATTTAAAAAGTTTGAAAATATTTTTTTTCTTCCATTTTCCTATTTTACTGTTTAAAGGACTTATTTTTGCAGTTATTGACACTAAATTACAGCATGAGGACAAAGCTTTTAGACATTAATGACTTTGTCAAATTTTCATAGAATTTAGTGAATTTTATCAGAAGCTTTTTATGATTAAGAGATAATATCTAAATCAACATTTTGAAAATATTTTTTTTCATTTTTGTCTCGCCTTCAATTAAAGTCAAGAAAACAAAACAACAGGATTACAGCAGCAGAGTCGATGGTGTAAATTTTTTGTAAAAAATTAAATATACTTCATGGGATAAAAGACCTGAATTCTTCATACCTTGTTTACATTTATGTAATGTTACATAGTTTCTGTCCGTCATATGTTCATCGTACTTGACATCATTTTCATGGTTCAGCGAATAGTTTTTTGTCATATGAATTTCTCACCTGTTATAAGTTATAGTATAACTATATTTGGTACATAGGATCCTTGCAAGGTCTACGTGTCGGGCTGACCTCTACATAATTTACTGGATCAGTGATCAATGTCAGGTTTAGTGTAAACAATATTTTATTTTGAAAATAATAATAACGTAAACATTACAAAATGACAATTTTATTGGGATTGGAAAACAAGTGAATTTTCACTTTTACAAATTCCTCTCCCAGGTGTCAGGTTTAAGTGGTCAAACCTTTATTACAGATACTATAAGCAGTAGCTGAACTATATTTCTTGTATGGAATGATTGTATGGTGTCGATGTCTGTATGGCAGGTTTCATTTGACCTTGGATTCATTTTCATGGTACTTTGATCTAGTTAAGTTTTTGTATTTTTGTCCGTTTCTCATATACTTTAAGCAATAGGTGAACTAAATTTGGTGTATGGAATGATTGTAGATGTACACGAAGAATATTGCAAGGTACAAACATGTTTGTCTGGCAGACCCTATATGACCTTGACCTCATTTTCATTGTTTATTGGTCATTGTTAAATTTTTATTGTAAGGTCTGTTTCTCAGGTACTATAATGAATGATAAGGTTATCTATATTTGGTGTATGGAATGATTGCAAGGTGTACATGTCTGTCTGACAGAGTTCATCTGATCTTGATCTCATTTTCATGAATCATTGGTCAGTGTTAAGTTTTCACGATAAGGTCTGTTTCTTAGGAACTATAAGAATGATAAGCATTAGGTCAACTATAGTTGGTGTGTGAAGTAATTGTATAGTGCATATACATGTCTGGCTTATTCTTCTGACCTTGACTTCATTTTCATGGTTCAAACGTCGACTTTAAGTTTATATTGTTACGGCTGTTTTTCAGATAAGTTCGGCAATATGTTAGCTAAATGCGGTGTACGGAATGATTTCAAGGTGCACATGTCTGGTGGAGATCATCTTACCTTTACCTCATTTTTGTCCCCCGCGCGACGCATTGCGGAGGACATTGAAATACCGGGTTGTCTTTCCGTCTGGTCTTGTTAGCGCTCTCACGTGTACAATTCTTGCCAGATTTTTATAAAACTTGTATCATAGGTTTCTGTCAGCAATGCCTCAGACAATTTCGAAAATCAGTGCCGATCAACTATTTTTCAAAGAGTTGTGCCCCTTGGAAATATTAATTATATGGAAAATTTCATTGTTGGGGCTCTCATGTGTACAATTCTTGCTAGATTTTTATCAAATTTATATCAAAGTTTTATATCAGCAATGACTCGGACAAGTTAGAAAATCAGTGCCGCTCAAATATTTTTAAAGGAGTTATGCCCCTTAAAAATATTATTTATATTGGAAATTGCATTGTACTTGCTCTCAAGCCTTCATTTCTTTACGATATTTGTAAAAAAAAATTAAGTAACAAACAAAATTTTTTTTTAGTTATTTCCCTAGGATAGATAAAAGAGGGACGAAAGATACCAGAGGGATAGTCAAACTCATAGATCGAAAACAAACTGACAACGCCATGGCCAAAAATAAAGAGACAAACAGACAAATAATGGTAAAGATGACACAACATAGAAAACTAAAGACTGAGCAACACGAACCCCACCAAAAACTGGGGATGATCTCAGGTGCTCCGGAAGGGTAAGCAGATCCTGCTCCACATGTGGCACCCGTCGTGTTGCTTATGTTATTACAAATCCGGTAAATAGTCTAATACGGTAGGTCACATAAAATATGTGCAGCGTGGAGGACATTGGAACTCTGTTCATTTATCATGGATAATTTTGTGTAATACTTTGTAGTATAACCTTTTTGTCTGAGACTTGATTAAATTTATAACGTGTTGTTTTCATTTTTTTCAACATAAGTTGAATCAGTATAGCAGGCAAGACATTTCAGAGTGTGCACTTTTTTATTTTATTTCTGCAAGTAGCCTTTACATACATACATAACACTGACATCAGCACTCGCGGGTGAGACTAAACGTTTATATTGCAGTCATAATTATAAACGTTTATGTTATTTTTCAATTATGTCTTCCTCATAAGATGACTATTTATTAGGATGAAGAGAAGAAGAAGATTCTAAATAATGTATATTGGTGTATATCTATATCACTATATTTATGTTACATATTTTTTCAGTCAAGATTTACAAGGCAATTTTAGAACACAGAAAAGATAAAACATTTTTAAAGCCAGCCGTTTGTAATACTATAGATATACAAATGCAAGAAAATAACATAGTGGTCATCACTGGCAGAGAAGGAACAGGGAAAAGTAAAATATGTCTGGAATTAGCTTCATTTTATGAAAATAATGATCATATGATTATTAAAGCAGATTTATCAGAAAATTACACAATATATACAGATATTGTCCATCCATTAATATTACTAATAATAGATGATGAAAAGTACACTCAAGATTCTCTCAATGACTTTATGAAACACCATTCACAAGTTTTATTGAAAAGAAATACCAAAGTGATATTGACCTGCAGGAATTTTGATTTAGACATTGTGAAAAGTGTACCAGAAATAAATAAATTGAAGAATGAAGCATTTATAGACATAAACAGTTGTTTAACAGCTAAAGAAAAAGAACAAATGTTAAAAAGGCACATGAAAGTGAATAACATTGCAATATCAGCTTCCAGTCAGGGTAATTTCAAGGATCCAAAACTTTTGACTGATTTGTCTGTACAAGTTACACTCGATGAACATGCCATCAAAAAAATTAAGAATGAAGAACCATGGAAGGGGTTCCCCGTGTGTGCTTCATTGTTTTGTTCTGAAAGAATTTTTTTGCATTTAGGAGAAAAATATTTTATCAATCCTCCAAGATTTCTTGTTGAAGAACTGAAAGAACTTTATAAAACTGCTAGAAAAAACTCGAATTCTATAGACAGAGTAAATGAGTACTGTATTCTAGTTTATATTTTGGTAAATAGTAATCATTATCTAGATCTAAATGATCATAATCTCTGCAGAAAACTTGCTGAATTATATCAAATATTATTTCGGTTTGAATTCATACCTGAAAACCCTGGTTCAAATGAAGATCAGAAAATATCAATAGAAAAAGCAGCATACAGAATGAACAACAAGTACCTCAAACTCCACGACGGCATTTACAAGTTTATTCATCCATGTATGTCAATAGCAATGTTCCTGTCATCTGATTATATGGTTCTTTACCTACTGCAGATTGGTTCATTACATGATATAACTGAGTTAATACGGAGTGAAGTTTATACTGCTTTGGAAAATGAATTAGTTATTAAAATTGATACAGAATATCATCACATCCTTTGTGAGAGGTTGGTGAGACATGTATTTGAAAATCATGTCTTACTGGAGCTTGTTGCACAATACATTTACTTATACTGGAGTTCATCAGGTAATGAGCTTGTAAACAAGATGTTTAGCCATATTGAGTTTGTGTTTTATCAAAGGTTTGGGATACACACGGAGAACCTGCAGCCTCTTGGAAACGACAGTTTGTCTGACCACAGCATTACATTAGAAAATAAAGTTTCTTTTCATAATATTATTGTATTAAATGATCAGTTAACATGTCAAGGAAGATATCCATGGATTTACAGACACGATGCAGCAGATTTTTGTATACTAAGTGGGTTGGTTACGGCAGCAATTGGTAAATATGCAACCAACAGAAAGCAAACTTTTAGAATTCTGTTGTCAGAGTTTCAAAGAAGGATACAGTCTGAATCTTTTGCAGAACTATGGAGTAAACCCTTAGATTTCCATGGAAACACATTTTTTCATTATCTGATGCTTTTCAGACAGGAGGAAGCTTGTCTAATCTTATGGGTCAATGAAGGAAGAAAAATTTTATTTGATACAGAAAATGTTCATAAATATACTCCACTTGATTTTGCAGCATATTTGGGAAAGGTAAAAATATTGGAAGTTCTGAATTTGAAGACTAATGTTTCAAAGAAAATAAAAGACAGACTTCAAAGACTTGCTAAAAGTGGGAAGAATGAGTTTTATAATGAACACACAAAAAAAACAACTTATGACCAATCTGTGATCCACAAAATCAAGGATGAGGGTGCTTCACCTGGAAATCTTCAATGTGAAGACGTTGGAGATGAAAAAGAGGACATAAAAAAATTATTGAAAAGGGCTTCCAGTCGCAGTAAGAATAAACATATTAAAGCAAAAAAGCAAGTTAAGAATGAGTCTGAATCAGAATTTGATGATGTTTTATGCTTTGATGTTTTTATGATGAATATTGTTGATTTTGGGGAAAACGAAGATTATCAGTCAAGTATTAAACTTTTATGTAAATAAATTGTTTAAATATATTATATTTAAGGAATTGTCAACACATACTAATTAGGCTTTATATTAAAAGAATTTGTTACATTCTTATAAAATCTTATTAGCTCATATGGGTCATACAAAGTAAGTGGGTTTTTCACCACCAAATATATCGGTGGCTGCTTTACTTAAATTAGAACACAAGTACCAAAGTAAGACGAAGTGTCTTTATATCTTGAACACAATTATAAACGTGAAAAAAAAACATGAGAATGTAAAAATCCATTACCACCACAAACTTAGAAAATGACTTCTTGATGAAGTTATCGCCCTTAAGTGAAGATTTTTTTCTTAAATTATCTTGAAGGTCTTTTAATTTAAATCCGTGTGGATAAATAGAGCTTGTCAACAGAATAAAATATCAGCAAAACAAAGTTCTACAAACACCATAGGACTTAAATCATCATTTGACATCAGAAACAAATGCCCTTAGTTAACCCTGACATCGCCTGAAGAATGCACAAAAATGCCTGAATGAATTGCTTCCTAGAATGCGAGACATAAGGATACGATCGATGGCAAAGACATGTTTGTATACTATTTGTGAGCTTTATATTTCAGAAGGTAGTCCTGGATGCTTTATACCTAGTATGCAGATACATTTATATGTTACGAAGTTTCCTTCTATCCTATGTAGATTGTCCTTGGCCTCATTTTCATGGTTCAGCGAATGCTTGAACAAAAATATAGTTTTTAGCTCCCCTGGCCAAAAAGGGCCAAGTGAGGTTTTCTCATCACTTGGCTCCCGTCGTCCTTCGTCGTCGTCCCTTAACATTTACAAAAATCTTTATCTCTAAAACAACTGGGCCAAATAAATCAAAACTGGGCCTAAATCGTCCTTAGGGTATCTAGTTTTAAAAATGTATCTGATGACCCCGCCCATCAACCAAGATGGTCGCCATGGTTAAAAATAGAACATAGGGGGAAAATGCAGTTTTTGGCTTATATCTCTGAAACTAAAGCATTTAAAGCAAAAATGTTCATCAGGTCAAGATCTATCTGCCCTGCAATTATCAGACGCATCAGACAACCTGTTGTTGGGTTGCTGCACCTGAATTGGTAGTTTTAAGGAAATTTTGCAGTTTTTTGTTATTATCTTGAATATTATAATAGATAGAGATAAAGTGTAAACAGCAAAATTATTCAGCAAAGTAAGATCTACACATAAATCAACAAAACCAAAATTGTCAATTGACTCCATAAGGAGTTATTGCCCTTTAAAGTAAATTTTTTACAATTTTTCGTAAATTTTGTAGTATTTTACAAAAATCATCTCCTCTGAAGGAAATTTTGCAGTTTCTGGTTATTATCTTTAATATTATAATAGATAGAGATAAACTGTAAACAGCAAAATTGTTCAGCAAAGTAAGATCTACAAATAAGTCAACAAAATCAAAATTGTCAAATGACTCCATAAGGAGTAATTGCCCTTTAAAGTAAATTTTTCACAATTTTTCGTAAATTTTGTAGTATTTTACAAAGATCTTCTCCTCTGAAACTACTGGGCCAAATTAAACCAAACTTAGCCTAAATCATCCTTAGGGTTTCTAGTTTAAAAAATGTAGCCGATGACTACGCCAATCAATCAAGATGGCCGCCATGGCTAAAAATAGAACATGGGGGTAAAATGCAGTTTGGCTTATATCTCTGAAACTAAAGCATTTAGAGCTAATCTGAAATGGAGTAAAATTGTTCATCAGGTCAAGATCTATCTGCCCTGAAATTTTCACACGCATCAGACAACCTGTTGCTGGGTTGCTGCCCATGAATTGGTAATTTTAAGGAAATTTTGCAGTTTTTGGTTATTATCTTTAATATTATAATAGATAGAGATAAACTGTAAACAGCAAAATTGTTCAGCAAAGTAAGCTCTATAAATAAGTAAAACATGACCAAAATCGTCAATTGACATCTTTTTGGAGTTATTGTCCTTTAAAATCATTTTCTGCAATTTATTGGTAATTTTTGTAAACTTTTTTCAAAAATATTCTGCTTTTGATTTAACCACTGGGTCAAATTAAACCAAACTTGGCTTCAATCCTTATTAGGGTATCTTATACTATTTATTATGATTTTAACCAAGAATTATTTTACATGATTTTCATAACCACAGTAGATACAGGTGAGCGACAAAGGCTCTTGTCTCTAGTTTTGTCATGTCGTGATTTTCTCACTTATTATGAGTAATAGGATAAATATATTTGGTATATGCAAGGAGTAAATGTCTGTCAGACATGGTTCACTTGACCTCGACCTCATTTTATGGAATATATTGTAAGCAATAGGTCAACTATATTTGGTGTATAGAATGATTTTAAAGTGAACATGTCCAACTGGCAAGTTGAACCTATATTCATGGTATATTGGTCAATGTTAATTAAGAGCAAACAAAGGTTTGGAGACTTGTTGGTTTTGCTCAGTTCTTTTTATCACAAGATTAGGATTGACGAAAGAAAGCACCCTTTTGATTTTGACGATTTCACGTTTTGTCATTCCTGAGTTTATTCATTGAAAATAAGACGTTTACTCAAATACTGTATAAGAACTCCACTTTTTTTGTGATACTTTTTCTAGAAATTGTATCACAAGGCTAGATTTGATCAAATTAGCTCACTTTTTTCATGCCACAGTTCTGGGACTTTCTTCATACAATTTTTTTCACATACTACATAGTAAACTTAATCTGAAGTTAATCCGGTATGCTGGGATTGGTTTATTTCACTTTTTGCGCTGTTGAGATTGACAAAAGAACGATTCGTTCAATTTTTGATTGAAAAAAGAATTTTAATTTGTTTGTCGTTCGAGAATTACAGGACTTTTAACTATAAAAATAAGATGTGGTATGATTGCCAATGAGCCAACTCTCCAACAGAGACGGATTGACATAGAAGTTAACAACTATGGGTCACCATACGGCCTTCAACAATGAGCAAAACCCATACCTCATAGTCAGCTATAAAAGGCCCCGAAATCACAGATGTAAAACAATTCAAACAAAAAAACTAACGGCCTGATCTATGTACAAAAGAATGAATGGAAAACAGATATGATATACAGCAACAATCGACGACCACTGAATGATAGGCTCCCGACTTGAAACAGGTACATATAGAATGTGAGGGGTGTTAAACATGTTTGTTGGTGTTCAACCCTCCCCCTAACCTGGGACAGTGGTGTTACAGTACAACATATGAACACGTGACTTATAAAAATCTGTTGAAAGGGCTAACTCACCAGATCGATACAAGGCAGAAAAAACAAGCAATAAAATTACAGACCGGACCTGGCAGGGTATTTATACATCCCCACAACAATACAGACATTAAATATAAATCAATTGCTTTAAAAAAGCAATTGTAAACGGTCTTTCCCCCCTTCTGAAACATGATTGATTGATATGTGTGTGTGTGTGTGTGTGTTTGTTTGTTTGTTTCTTTCTTTCTTTCTTTCTTTCTTTAAAGGGTCCATATTAGTGTGTTGGTTAAGTTTCTATATTTAGTTTGGAAAGTTTTTATTCTATTTTAGGTCCCGCGCGCGTCTTTGTCTCGCGCCAGATTGTGGCGTCACGTGACGAAGCTTTATAATAGCGAAAACATAGTATTTTTATTTCTTTTTAGGTGGAGACGTTGGACAGATAACATGTATAGCGACGGAATACACACAATGTATTTCTTTTGTCATTGTAGATAATTGACGTTTCGATCACAGTTCACGAGCAGTGCATGCTTTGGATTTAATTGATCCTGTGTAACTTTAAAACACGTTTATCGATTATTTTCATACAATGTACATTTTTCAGCAGCAGTTTGTAACACAGATTTGTATTTCAATCTAGGAGCGGACATTTTATTGCAGGATTTCACTGAGATTTACGGAGCTAGCAAGCGATTTTTACGGCATTGCAATTTCTTTTCTCTAGGAAAATTCTTGAGAGATATCTGCACCACGTTGTTTTATGAAGATGTAATGCATGTATACCCTGCTGACTGCAAATTTTATGGGTCAATTAGACATGTAGTTTCCCAGAACATCTGATAACAAGCATGTGGATTTTTTTTTTTCGGAAGAGATGTAAATACAATATTACACACATGAGACGAAAACATGCATACAATGAATGAATGAATGAATGAATGATTGATTGGTTGGTTGGTTGGTTGGTTAATTGATTGATTGATTAATTAATTAGTTGGTTGGTTGATTGATTTGTTGATTGGTTGATTGATTAAACACGTGGGATAGGGTCTCTTGAAACAAGCGAAAAAAGAAACAAAGGAAATCTTGGACCCCGTATTAAACACATGAGACGGAAACATGCACACAATGAATGAATGAATGAATGATTGGTTGGTTGGTTGTTTTATTTATTGGTTAGTTGGTTGGTTGATTGATTGATTGATTAATTAAACACGTGGGATAGGAATTCTTGAAACAAGCGAAAAAGAAACAAAGGAGATCTTGGACCCCGTATTAAACACATAAGACGGAAACATGCATACAATGAATGAATGATTGATTGGTTGGTTGGTTGGTTGATTGGTTTATTGATTGATTGGTTGGTTGGTTGGTTGGTTGGTTGGTTGTTTAATAAACTTAACATGTGGGATATGGTGGTCTCTTGAAACAAGCGGGGAAAAAAAGGGAGATCTTGGACCCCATATTAAACACAGGAGACGGAAACATGTATGCATGCAATGATTGATTGAATGGTTGGTTGGTTGGTTGCTTGATTGATTGATTGATTGATTGATTGATTGATTGATTAATTAATTAGACACGTGGGATATGGTCTCTTTAAACAATCGAAATAGAAACAAATAAGATCTTGGTCCCTATATTAATATTAAACACATGAGACAGAAACATGCATGCAATGATTGACTGACTGATTGATTGATTGATTTATTGATTGATTGATTGATTGATTGATTGATTGGTTGGTTGGTTGGTTGGTTGGTTGGTTGGTTGGT